AGGCACAGCCTGCACTTATGTTTATATCACTTGGGGAGCGCGTCGCGCCCAGCTAACGGTTTGTAGGGCTTGGAAATGGCAGCAGAGAGCAGGGATCATCCCCCACATTTTTTATTTGCCTCCTGAAGGGCTGAGGGAAGGGCTCTCCTTCGCCTGGAAGCCCGCGGCCGCGCTGAGGGAGGCGGCCGGGCGCTGAGGCGGGCGGCGCGGCCCCGCCATGAGTCGCGTCCCCCCCCGCTGCCCGTCACCCACTGTGGAACTCGGCCGCCTTGGTGCCCCTCACGATGTGGCGCTGCCCCTCGCCTCCCGGCCGCTGCAGCCGCACCAAGATGTACTTGAAGGTGCCCTCGGGGTCGATCTCCACATCCTGCACCGCTGCCATGGCGGAGCCCGCAGAAGCAGAGCTCCCAACGCGCCCCGCATGGGGTCGCCCCCAGGCGGCGGCGGCTGCCCGGCGCCGTAAGGCAGCGCGGCCGCCCTGCACCAGCAGTTTGTGAGGAAAAATTCTTAAAGATTCGCCCTCGGTGGGCCGAGGGCTGCACTTATCAACGATTCTCTTCCTTAGCTACTGTTTTTTTGCCCCGTGAGGGGTAAGGAGGCTATGCCGGGGCTGGCTTCTCTGAAGGAGGGCTCAGTGCTGTGTAGCATAACGCCCACAAGGGCAGACAGCATTGCACTGTGGTTAAAAATAACCTCCTAAAAGCAGGCACCCTAAAGGGTTTTAAAGCTCCGGGGAAAAGCTCCCCTTCCAGGCAGTCTGTGGGACGCCACTATTTTCCTTCTACCTGCCAGAGCTTTGTTCACCTCTGCAGAAAAACAGAGGTAAAAAGAAGAGAACTGCAAGCCTTCTGTAGGCTGCTGTTCACACATTAGATAAAAGACAAGCCTACCTGCTGTTCATCTCATTTTAACGTGTGCCACCTGAGTTAAGTAAGCACACGGCTTCACTGTAAAGTCACAAGTATATGGAATAAATTAGATCAGATACCAAACCAAAAGGACATATGTTTTTTCCTTCCCCCCATCAATGGAGCAAAATTTAAAATGCTTTATGAGCAGATAGCTCTAACCTTTGCTATGTTTAGTTAGATAGAAGGAAGTTTAAAAACTTTGTATTACTCAGCCAGCTTCAACTGTAAGAAAATACAGACTTGTATCTCAAAATGAGGGTGAGAGGACCCTGGTCTGGAGGATGTGTTAGAAGACGAGGTGAAGAACTCACGCTGTGCATATGGCTTTGGAGATGTAACCAGCTAAGCTCAATACGTGTGCTTAAGTTGAAGAAGCAACAAGATAAGAAAGCAAAATGGCCCAAGCTTGTACAAGAACTGGGTTCAACCAGCAAACACAGTGAGGAAGACCATCAATGAGCACAAGAAGACTCCAAAAGATCACCAGTAGAAACAAATGTGCATGTGTGAGGGACATGTGCATGTTTTAATGACTTCTGGGAGATAATATGAATACATTGATTACTCCCTGGAAATCTAATGAATATGTATATTTTGTTTGCATATAATCTTTGTATTTGAGCAACTCAGCACGTACGCTAGGTGCAGTGATCCCCTGTGCGCCTTGCGCTGCAGTAGAAGAACGCCTGCTTTGTAAAACTCCAAATTCAGTGTTAGAGAGTTTCTTCGACCAGCTTGTACGCTATCAGTTTTGGCAACCCAGGTGGGACACAGCTCTTAAGCCTCAACAGTTCCTGGGATTGTGGAGCCTCAGCCAGCACTGAGGGTTTCTTGGAGAGGACACTGACCCCCAGACCAAAGAGGCCCTGAGCAAAGACCACTGTTTTGTAAGTACAAAGGCATTCTTTTGAAACATTTGTGTATCTGCCCATAAGACCCAGCGAAAGCTATGCAGGTTTAGGTTTAGGACAGGGACTGGGATTAGAGTTCCCATTTGGTGTGAGAAAAAGAGGTTAGAGTCCCCAGCTTGGGTAATTTAACAGAAAAAGAAAGGGAATGCTAGATTGATTGCTGTGCTAGAAGAAACTTATGATCCTTGAAGAGGACCTGGAGGTAGATTTAGAGGGGGTTATCAAGGAAGAGAATATGGTAAAGACTGCTGAGGCCCCCCTATAGGAGGAACTCAGTGTGTCTATTGTAGGAAGGAGGGACACTGGAGATGAATATCCATTACTATATGGGCCCAAGGGATTAAATATTCCTATAATGGCCATAGAAGCTAGAGAGCTAAGGGGACCAGAGGAAACTTCCCCAGCAGAACCTCTGGTTGAAATTAAGCTGGAAGAAGATGAAACTGATACAGAATGTTTAGTTGATACAGGGGCCACTTACTTGGTTTTAAATACAAATAAACATGAATTAGGATATGATACTATAAGAATTACTGGTGTGGCAGGAAAGTTGAAAACAAGGCCCTTCTTTAAACCCATAAAGTTTTAAATTGGAAAGCAATGGGTAACGTCAATTTTTGTATCTGTCAGGTGCACCAAAATCATTAATATGTCGAGTCTTATTGGAAAAATTAGTGGCTGAAACAAAGTTTTAAAATGGTGAAGTAGAGGTATTAATGCCTGAATCTAAATTTGTCCAAGCTTCAATGATGTTATTACAGGAGACTGCACAAGGGGAAGGAGAAATCCCGGTTGAATTTGAGGACACAGTGATTCCCATTGCTTGGGCAGAAGACATACCAGGAAGATCAAAGAGGGCTGAACCCATAAGGATAGATCTTAAGCCAGGATCAGCACTGGTAAGATTTGCAGCAATATCACTTAAAATTAGAAGCCAAAATTGGGTTAGTCCTTTTTATATGGACATTTTTAGAATATGGGGTGTTGAGGGGGTGTGAATTTAAGTATAATGCTCCAATTTTACCCATTAAGAAAGTTGATGGGAAATCTTACAGGTTAGTCCAGGATCTGAGAGGAATGAATCAAATTGTTCAAGATATTCACCCTGTGGTAGTAAATCCATATACATTATTAACTACTCTTACTGAAGAACAAGGATGGTTTACAGTTTTAGATTTAAAATATGCCTTTTTCTGCATCCCACTTGATTCTGAGAGCCAGGAATTTTTTGCCTTCAAATGGGAGAACCTAGAGATAGGAAGGAAAACTCAATGTACTTTGCAGTATTACCACAAGGATTTAAAAATAGTCCAACAATCTTTGGAGATTAGCTAGCAAAAATATTAGAATTATGGAGACAACAAAAAGGGAATAAGACAATATGTTGATGATATACTACTAGCTGGCAACCCTTGGGAAGAATGTCTGGAACTGACAATGAAATTTCCTTGGACTCAGTGGGTATCCAGTGTGGAAGGAGAAGGCTCAAATTGCGTAAGAAATTGTACAATATTTAGGGTTTTGAAATCTTAAAGGGACAGTTAAATACTGAAAGGAAGCTACTTGCCAACTCCCAGAAACTCAATGTTTATGATTTAAGAGGTTTCTTGGGAATGGTGGGATGGCATCACACGTGGATTACTAATTGCAGACCAATGGTGAAACCTTCGCATGAATTTTTGGAATTACCAAGGGGCTCCCTTCAGTGGACCAATGAAAGGCCGAGTCAGCTTAAAAGAGCCTTGATGGAAGCCCCGTTTTTAGGGCTGTCTAGTTTAGAAAAAACTTTTGAACTGTTCACCTATGAAAGGAAGTCTGTAGCCCTCAGTGTCCTGCCCCAACACATGGGGGAACATAAGTGAGCAGCAGCATACGTTTCCAAGAAAATGGATCCAGTAGCTAAGCAATGACCTGGATGCTCAAAATTTTTTAAAAAGTATTATACTGGCCTTCCAGCTCCAAGTGGATTAGGATTAATGCTATTGCTGACCACCGTATGTAAGAAATACAGACTTGTACCTCAAAGTGAGGGCAAGAGGACCCGGGCCTGGAGGACATGTCAGAATGTGATATGAGGAACTTGTGCTGTACATAAGGCTTTGGATGCATAACCAGCTAAGCTCAGCACACATGCCTAAATTGAAACAAGAAGATAAGAAAGGAAGATGGCCTGAGCATGTGGAAGAATTGGGTTCAACATGCAAACACTGTGAGGAAGATTGATGACCATCAGCAGAAACAAATGCGTATGTGTGAAGGATATTTGCATGTTTTAATGACTCTTGGGAAATATGAATACATTGATTATTCCTTGGAAATTTAATGAATATGTATGCTTTGTTTGCATATAACCTTTGCAGTTGAGCAATTCAGCCCGCACACTAGGTGCGGCGATCCCTTGTGTGCCTGGCACTGCAAGAGAAGAATTCCTGCTTTCTGAAACTCTAAACTGAGTGTTAGAGTTTCTTTGACCAGCTTGTACAGTATCAATATTAGCCTATTGATTGTTAGGTTTATGTTAACTACAAGAAAAAAAAAAAACACGTTTTCTTACAGTGCTGATACATGGGCATAGTCCTTACTCAGAACAGCAGTACTATGTACATTTTAAAGTCTACAACTTTTAAAAAAAGTTTCAGACTACTTCTATAAAAAAGTTTCAGCATAACTACACCTTTGAAGTAACATATGAATATATAAAGCTAGCAAGTCATTATTAACATGAACTTCTAGATGTATATTATGTAGCTTAACTACATAATATGATGACAGCAACATGTTACATAAGCCTGAAGCATAATATAAAAAAGCAAAATATAGGAAGAATACCACCTAAACATAGCCCTACTTAATATGATAAATATAATTTTTATGTTAGAAGTTATCTTTTAATTTGCTTGATTTCTAATCAGGGAAGATTATTTACTTACCTGTTTTGTTAGTTACCATAAATCTTAACATTTTACTATTTCAGATACTACCTTTATTTATCTTTTTAGGTACAGACTACCATCAAAGCTGTAAGCAAAAACAAAGCCCTAGTAAAGTAAGCCAGGCCACTACCACCTATGCTTTAGAGAGTATAGAGGTGAGGGAGGGCTATAAATAGGAACCCAATCCTACCATCTCAGCTGTCCTGCATGTTCAAGTCAGGCAGGGAAAGTGACAAAAGCTGTGACTGGGTGAGGTGTCCGTTAGCATCAGGAGACAGAGAGAGTGTTGTAGAGCTGATGTAGTAGCTGCTTAAACTTGTTTTGTCCTGGCTAGTCCAATCTGCTAGCAAGGCATCTGTTAGGCTATGGTATTAGTAGCTTTTTAGGCTTGTTTAAGTCAATCTCAAAGCTTTATTCTTGTTTTGGTAGCTTCTGTACATATAAGTTGTTTCTTAATTATTTTGTCTACTATTCTAGCATGGTATTTAGTATTCTATTTTTCTTCCTGTTGAAGTTAGTGCCTTAGAAGGCTTTGCAGAGATTGCTCGTTTGAATGAACCTCACCTTTCTATTTTTAGCTGGAATAAGACATTTAGATCCCTTGAGCATAGAAGCCTGCTGTACAGTCTTGGCTGTGGAAAGCTTGATTGCCCCATTTCAGCTGTGATACATGGAAGGAGCTAGCAACAAACAATGGTAAAGTTGATGAGCAAGGGCAAGGATGGCAATGGAAATACTGGGCAAGGATGGTAATGGAAATACTTAACACCGTGCTTCCAAAAGCTAAGCTCTCTTAACAAAGAGAATGGGCATCTGGCCTTGACCTGACGTGCGTTTGAGTAGTAACAGGCAAAACTGACCTTTGTTATGTGCTTGTTAATGGTTTTGTCTCTGAAAGCACCCTCCTTGTCCAAAAGTAGTTTCCTATGCCCTGCTGGGGTACCGCAGCTTCCTGCTGGTGTCCAGGCCAACGACAAAACCCCCCTGTTGTTGGCGGTAATTTTTAATACGTCACTTTGTGGGCCTCAGGAGTAAACAGAGGATGGCATGGGGCAACAGGGGTCTCAAACCAGAGACAGCCTGACTCCTGCAGAGAGGGACTTTCCTTTTGGGGTGGGTGTGCTCATAACTAATTGTGGCACAGAGTTCGGCACTGTTTTCTGAAAAGTGAAGACTTTGTTCTTATTTGGCTAAGTGACATGTGTCTTTACTCTCTTGTCATAAAACCATTGTTCTGAGGAAAAAAAAATAATAAACATCTCAAACTAGATTACAGTAAACCAGTGCGGCAATAATTAAGGTAGTGTAATGGGTATTTTTTTGTGTTCAGCTCTAGCCAGACCATAAGAGCAAATGTTGCCAACACTCTTTCTCATCTGGGTTACATGCTGGCTTGTTTTCCATTATGGTTTGCAGGCCTTGGATTGGACCCAAATGACTGTAAAGTGAGGCTGTTCCTGTGTATGTCTTTCCTGTTGTCTCCAAACCCCTGTAAAATTCACCTCTTCACATGCTGGTTTGATTTGGGCCAATATTGCGGTGTATGTTGCGGTAGTTGATTGTGTCTTAGTGTGACAGCATGTGTGGTCACGCTGTCATCCTACTGAATCTGGGATATCCAAGCCAATTTACTGGTTCAGCTAGTACATCTGAACTTGGTTAAGGTTGGTTATATGTTCCAGCACATGCAGAGATGGGGAAAAATAAAAAATACCGTGTTTCATGAGTATGGTGTAAAAGCTGAACAGGTAGACAATAGGGACACTGGTAGTGTTCCTGCTGAGGGATTGGGTTCCTGCATATTGAGTGAAATATTTCACGATGGAAACTAATGGCAGAGGACAAACACATTCTTGTCACACTTAATGGCACTCCTGCTGGGCTTTGTGGTGCCACAAAGGCTGCGATGTTTGTGTCTTTCTATAGTAACTCTAGAATCATTTTTCTTCCCCAGCTGCCCCCAGGGAAAATTGCTTTGTTCAGGAAACATGGATGGTTACTGAGCGCTCTTTCTGAATCTTTTGTCCACAGCTTAACATTTTCTTCTACCACTGAAGTGGACAAGCAGTCTTCAAGGAACCTTGGAGGAATTTACCACTGGTGGGTGCAGTGCCCTCAACTTTGCGCTGGTGTGTTCACCAGCTTAACACATCCAATACAGCAACTTTATCTCAAGTCTCTATATTCCTTAGCTAGATTGTTACATGTGTGTGTTAAATGGTAGTTTGAAAAGAGATACGAGTTCTCAAAAAAAAAATTAAGGTATCCATTTGTGTCCCTATTGAACCTAACAGCAGAAGAATGCGCTAAAGACCTGCTCAAAAAAGCAAGCAACAAAAGAAAGTGTCTTAAATGTGTTTTGAAGAAAGTACAGGAAAAAATGTTGGGTAAAATGAATGCAACTAGCATACATACAGGCTTATGAGACTTTCTTATCTGTAGTCAAAGATGATTTGTCTTTGAGTGGAACTTTTGAGAAACTTATTAAAAATTGACAAGTGTTTCTTGCTTTATCAATGTGGATTGATGTGAGGGATGGGGAAGAGATGGCTGTACTGCAGTTGTATGTGGAGATGTCTAAGCCAGTTGTAATGGAACTGGTTCATGTAGCAGAAGCCACCTGGCTGCAGAAACGTGGAGTTCAGATGACACTGGTTTATCCTGCCAAAAAGAAAAAAAAAAAAAAAGAGGATCCATTTATTGTGTAGGTCTCAAACCTGTTATTTCTAGCTTGCTTTCAGTAGCATCCAGACTATCCTAGTTAACTTGCACGTCTTAAAAGCAAGACAGTAAATTACATTTTAATATCAAATGTAGCATTTCATTCAAATAGGAAAAAATAAATAAATAAATAAAACACCTAAACAAACACAGCCCTGTTAGCCAGGAGTATTTTAATGACAAAACAGTCTCGTTTATTTTGGTCTTCAGCCTCTGAATGGTAACTGACTAGACAAGAAGCATTAGTGTTATACAAATGTGCTAAGCATACATTGTGTTGCAGTGAAACCAAGGAGCTTATCATGGGCTTCTCTCGAGCCATTAGGCAAATCCAGGTTACCAGAATCAGGAAAAGGGAAGCAATCAGTTTGGACTCCAGCTTTATAAATTTTTCCTTTTATTGAGCTCTTTGACAGTAGGGCACAAGATGTAAGGATATGTTTGGCCTGTTGTTGTATTACAGGAAAGGATTAAGAAGAATTTTGAAGTAGGTGATTTCCATTGCATGTAACTCTCACATGAGAGAGAATATAAAATGAGGGTAACTTTCAGCAGTACTTGCAAATACTTTATCATGGAGTGAGAGCATGCACTTGCATGGAGCAGAAGAATGCCTGATACTGATGCAAATGAAATCCTGTCGCACACTGTGTGTGTCGTGGATGTCTTAGGACCACAGGTCTGCTTTGCTGCTTGGCCCAATTGTTTTAAGAGGCTTTGAATGAAAAGTTTTCTTCACATCTGTTGGTTAACAGCTCCCCAGATTGGCACCAAAAGCCAGAACAAATGGAGGATAATGACATTCTCTCTTTGTATTAACATCTTCTGGATCTGTGTATGTGTAGTCAGTTCAGAAGCCAGAGTACTGGTTCGTGTACTGGAGAATCCAAGGCCACCTCCAGGATGCAGGAGAATACGGGCTGTCTGCTGAATCCTTCCTACTTTACTTTCATGGATAATGCTCTTGTTACAGTCCCTTTCAGAAATGAAACAACATCTGTACCAAAACCTTCGTGCTTTTTGTTCAGCTCACAGGAGGCTGTTCTCTAACCTCATTGCTCTGCTGGCTAGAAATTCCCTCCTAATTTCCAGTCTGTGTTTACTTGCAAAAAAGTGGTTTGTATCCACTTGGGTTTTGTACCAGCTTTATCCGTTTGTATCCAGAAGACTCCTGATCACCTTCTTTGCTTACCTGCCAATTGTAAAGAGTCCCTCACATTCTTTCTGAGCTTTCCTAGCTGCTGCTTCCCTGGTCTTATACACAATCTTCTGCTTCGCACCTGGGAAGATAATTCTTTAGAGGGGACCTGATGCAACATGTCTACTGTTTGGGCAGTCTAGTGTCCTACCAGGAGGTATCGTTCACTTAGTTCTCCTAAATGCCCTTAAGTATCACCTGCCTGTCATAGGATTGTTAGTTTTTTCCGTTTTGAACAGTCATAAACAGTACCTGACAGTCATAAACAGCACACAACCACCTGTAGAATTCACTTGCTCTGTGAAAACAATTTGCTGGATTTGTCTTTTGGGGCTTTCTGTCCTTCAGTTGTCCCTCCCTGCCCTGAGTGCCCGTGCCCTGCAGCATGTGGTGGGGACACGATGGAAGCACAGTGTGCAGATGATGGTCTTAGAATCCCAGCTGTTAATTTGTGGCCTGTAGGGATGATCAGTGTGAATGAGCTGTTTAATTGATCTAAGTTCATTTTTATAACCTATAACAAACTGACTATAAAAGCATTTCAGCTGCAGCTCATTTTCTTCAAGGTAAACTCATACTTGGGTTTATGGAGCAGAGAGAAGAGAATATTTTGAATGATGGGCTTAGTGCTAGAGGTGCCCAAGAGGGAAACTGTGTCCCTCCTTAGTCATGGTGTTGGGGGCTACCTAGATCAGAGGTAAAAATTGGAATGATGAAGAGAAGATGAATGGGAATGTAGCAGGATTCTGGGTATGGATTGATTGGAAAAAAAATAGGTTATTTCTTGTGGTGACTTACTAATGTTCATGTCTGTGGGCAGGTTTAGCTATAGCAATAATTCTCCTTTGAGAGGAGGGACATTGGCATATGGAGTAAGGGAAAGAATAGCTGTTTTCCCAAATTCTGGCATTCAGTGAGTGCCAAGTTCAGGAAGTAGTTTTGTATACATGGGAGCGGATTCTGATTGCTTGTTTTAAGTCTGGGAAATGCCTTCAAGAGTGCATGTAAACTGTTTATTTCAGAGGAGGACAATTAAATCCTATCTTAGAAGACAGATATAAGCCTATAGCATTGGTGGCTTGAGTTTATTTAGTATAATTGCTAGGTAATTCTGCAACCTGAATAGGAGATGAAATTATTAGAATTCTGTGAAGTTTGTTCTGGATTCCTTTCCCATTGCTTTAAGCATCTAAGCAAGTGTATTTGCTCTCATTTTTGTTAATGGAGGCAGAATGGAGCTCCTTTGCCTTAACTTTTAGATATACTTTAGTCTTTCAATCTATAGAGTATAGAGCAACTGGACTCTTAACTTATTTTTAGGTAGGTATGAACCTGAACCTTTCATTCTGTTTTGATGGTAGAGTATCTTCTTTTCTGTAGTTTATGCAGTTGGTCTAACATGGATTTTCTTCACTTAGAAGAAACACAAATAAACTGAACTCTTAACCACTTCAAGTAATGTTGCTTTCAGGTCCAGTATTGTTTTAGGGGTGATAAATAATAATCCTTTCACTTTCTGTTGTTCCAACACCTATTATGAAAGTAATCTTTTCTGATTATAAAGAACCAGACTCTATCAATTGCAATCATACGTGATTATAAAGGATGAGTAAATGCCTATTGATGAAGAAAAGAAAGAAAAAAAGAAATAATGTGCACCAAGGGTTGGGGAGTGGGGAGCTGTCCTTGTTTTCTTTGAGAAAAATGTTTGTTTGTTTGTTTTTACTTCAGACTTGGATATTAAAGGCTCTGTTGAGAGTATGGGAGTGTGAAATGGACCTGGGCAGTAAAATGAATGTTTATGTGTGGATCATACAGTTTTTCTTCCTTCCACGTGTTTGGAGGGTGGTGAGGCTCCGAGCCACTGCCATGGAATCCAGCAGTAGAGCACTAGAAATAATCAGGCTTGCCGCGGTGTCAGCTCCATCTGCAACTGCAGGCAATCAAGCTCTAGAAGTTAAGCCTAGCCCCACTTTGATCTTAATTCAAGGTGTGAGGAGGCGCTGCCACTCACCAAACTTTCCTCTGTTCCTTTGTGTATTTTCACTGTTCATTTTCACTGTATTTTCATGTTCAATGCTCTGAATCACACTTTGCCAGTGCAAGTGATCCCTGGACTCAAGTTAGATTACTGAATGTGAATTTTGGCCTATCTAGAGGAAATTGAGCATGTGAGTCACATTGGAGAGTTCCTGAAATGAGAAGTGGAGATAAGATTTTCTGTCTCCTGGGGTTTTGCTCCAGACAGAGTGGAGACTGTCTTAGGAAGCCTGAGAAATTCCAGCTTTTGTAGCAGTTGTATTACCTGCCTTATTCACACTTAATGAGACAGAGGCTGAGGGATGAGTATGTCTTTGGAAATTATCTTTTCCCATCAAGACCTCAGGGAAAACTTGTGTATTATATCCTTTGTCTCTGAATTTTTAAAGAATTAGTGTTTCAAGCTCCTGTCCAAACAGGAAGCACCTTCAGTACTGGCTCCAGAACTCCTTTTCCCTTCAAGGCTGGCTACGGCTCTTATTCTTCCTCTTCTACAGAATATTGCTGTGGGTAAAATTGGAGTTTTGTCTGTGACTTCAAAATTTCAGGTTTTACAGCTCTTTGCCACAGGACAAATATCTGCTTTACAAACTATTTTGACATAAATACTTATCAGATTTTTTCATAGTTGAATGACAAATAAGCCTACTTTAGAGAGATGGAACTGGGTTACTCACAGAGGTGTTTAATTATTTTTGTCTGGTATAAAAGCTTCACTGATTTTTTTAAAAGAAATAGTGACTTAGAAATGTGTAAATGCAGGTGTAATCTTTTAATATAGGTAAAGAGCCATTCTTTAAACAAAACATGGCAAACATCTGTCTCTTTCTATATGTATATACATACAGGTACACACTCATGTTATCTAACAACTTACCATATCCTGTATTTGTCTTATTTTTGTTATTCTAGCAAGTTCAATTAAGAATTTCAATCATTTAAAATTTCTCATTGCCTCCCGTTTCCATAAGCTATTGATAAAGACACAAAGTTTTCTCAAACCAAGACTTTTCCAAAGGAAAGCTAGTCTCTACAAAGAACTGCTCTAGCACTGCATGGCCTTGGCATTTAGAAAGATTTTCTTTAAAACTTTATCACCGCAAATCAATCCAACCACCACTTGTTATATACCAAGTGGACATAAAGAAATGTTCATTGCATTCCTCCTAAGCACTATAAAATACCTTCTAGGTTGTAGAAAATCATGTAGACTTTTAATCTATTATTCTTTTTTTTTTTTTGGCTGGAGATGTTATAATGGTTAACTCTCTTTAGTTTTTACAGGTAGGCGATAGTTTCTGAACATGTATTACTGGAACTGCAATGCATTCAGAAGATTAGATCACTTGCAATATGCTCACAATTCAAATGAGCAAGTATATGCATGTGTTGTCAGGGAAGCAAGCAAAATGAGGATGTGTGTAAGAAATAAAATCAGTAAATTAATTTTAAAACTTTTTTGTTTGAATATAATGCAGGGTATCAGGAGTGTATGAGATGCTCATCAATTCTCTTCTATATGAGAATAAATAAAACTTAGCTCATGTCATAAATGTATCATCTGTCTTGCTCAGGATTTGATTGTATGTTATCTGCCTGTACCTTCTTAAAACTGCAGTTTGGAAGATCAGGTGCAATACCCCAGTTAAGATTTGGCAATGGCAGATTGGATGGAGTAATTGCAATATTTGCCTTAAAACATTCTTCTTGTTACATACCAGAACAGCGTTTCCTGTTTTTAAAAATGACAACAAATTGTTAAGTTTGTTTTATGTTGTGAGCTGTTATAACACTAGTTCTTTTTCTACAATGTTCCTGTCTAGCCAGTGATTTCAGAGTTTGCTGCTATTTTTTGTTGGTTTTTGAAAATAGTGTTTTGTTTTTTTTCTATTGAGTTTCATCAGTTTATTCAGATCATGTCTCTAATTTATCAAATCATCCTGAAGCCTACACTAGTCCTTTGGAACCCTTGCAGTTCCTCAAAGCTCAGTGTCTGCAAAATTTGAGTATTTTAGATGATATTTTGCAATCCAGTGCGCATTAGGTCATGTTAAGTTCAGCATAAGCCCTTGCACGGCTCGTTTGTACAGTCCTGAGACTGACAGTGGTCTTTGAAAAACTGCCCTTCAAGTAGTGGTTAAATGCCTTGCATGCTCATTTTATGATAATTTCAGCTAGCCCTGTGTCACTTGCTTGTAAGAATGCCTCTTGGGACAGTATGAAGTGTTTTGATTACAGCAATATATAGCTCACTGCTTGTTTTTGTTTTGTAGCTTTCAACTACAAACAAAACTAGATAGCTGTCAAGAAAATTGATATGATTGATTTATTATTGGCAGATCTTAGTATCCTTTTGCTGATTTTTCAGGTTTCTTTAATATTTCTCCAGTGAAGTTCTAGTATCTTTCTAGTTGCTTGTGTGGAGAACCAGACTTGTAATTAACTTCTAGGTGTAGAGAGGCAATACTTGCTTTTCACCAGCCATCTGACACCTTTCCACATGCTCTAAGGTAATTACTGAGGGTTTGGAGAAAATTTTGTTGGATCCTTGAACACTAATTTGATTGTACACAACAAATGTAGCCTTCACTGCAGTCTTGCCATACTCTGACCTGTTCTCTTTTCCCAGTGCACAACACTATTGTAGTGAGGATCTGCTAACCTTTCTCTGTACAGAAAGAAATTAAATTCGGTGTGTTCTCTGTCAATGGCTCTCTTTAAATAGCAGACCCGAATGGTGTTAGTTACTCTTATTCCTAATATGTGTATATAGCCTTTCCTTGCCTTTTTGTCCCATTCTGGGTTATCAGCTAAGCTTTCCTACTAGAAAATCAGCTGTCATTAGATAATCCTTGATAGACACTTCTATCTGTAACAGAAAAGAGGTGATCTGGAGTATTCCCCTTCACTTTGAGGAAGCTAGGCTTTCACTTGTGGGAATGAAGGTCTGGTGTGTATAAGAACAAGAAGTGTTGAGCATTTTTTTAGGACAAGTTGGGAGCAAACAACTGCAGCCAGCTCAGTGCAGTACAAGAAATGAAGTTCTTTATTGTGTTCTCGAATCAGTTGCCAAAGGAAGAAAAAATGCAAGCGTGAAAAAATGATGAAAAGAAAATAAATCTGTAATATAGAAACCAATTAAGAGGCAGGCTGGATGGCATTTCTAGCTTGAATACCTGCAGTTTAAACTAGACAACTGTGTCAGAGGTACATTTTTCCTGAAACACCTGTGTATCTTAGGTTTCAATATGATCTTTGGCTCACAGGAATCCCAGTCTTCCCGAGCAACAATGGAGTTGAAATTTTTAAGTACCTTTAAATTTAATGAGACTTAGACCTCTGAGTTGTGTGCCTTTAAATGCTTTTCATGTGTTTTTTTGTTTGTTTTTTCTGAAAATTTTGTTTGTATTTGTCTTCCATTACATTAATAGGAGATTAAAAATATAATCAGTGGGTGGCAGAATTCCCTGGGAAAAACCAAAAAGAGCCCCTAGTCAGTGATGAACAGTGAAACGCTGCCAACAAAAAGAGGCAGTCTTTTTTTAGGCTGGAGTTCTTACAGGCATATTGCTTTTAGGCTTGCATTCTTGTTTTTTTTTTTTTTTTTTTGTCCTTATCTGCTGCAGACACTCAGTCCCAGACAGTCCTTGTGAAGGAAGACTATTGTAAACTGTGAAACCCTCTCTTCCTTCCTCTGGAGATTCCACTGGTAAAGCGATTCTGATGCAGTTTCTTCAACTCAACTTCAGAGCCTCTGCCATGAGAAGGTTGAGCATTTACCAGTAGGAAGCTTGTAACCCAGTTTGAAAAAGTGAATCTCCAGAAAGAGGTGAATTATTTTTCCCTCTTCTGGCTCTGGAGGGGATAGGAACTTCTCTGGAATTGTCTATAATTCTTCTGTGTCTACATCTATAAAACCTGATTAATATTTTAGGAGAAGAAAATAGCTGTTCTATCAAAACTTATCCTAACACTATTATAGTAATAATAATAATACAAACCCCATGGAATTTTGCCCTGCTGTGTGATATACTGTACAGATGCTTTAAAAGTACCAGTCTGTTAGAGTTTACAGTCTGAAGAACACTGACAGACAGGTTGGCAGACAAGAAGTGTTTTCATTCCCAATTTCCAGATGAGCAGCTGAGGCTAAAGAAATCAGTTCTGACCTGATGCTAACTGTAAGTCTCTGGAAGTCTGGTGGTTATAAGAAGTTGGCCAAGGCCTGAGGTCACAGAACGTGGCTGTAGAATAGCCAGGAGTTAACCACAACTTTTCAGAGTTTCTTGACAGCACGTCTGGTTCTGGCATTCCTAGTTCACACCTGCCTCTCCCTGCAAATATTCAGCATGCTCTTTTTAATTCTCACTCTAATCGGTAGCTGATTTTGACAAGCTTTCAAGGACTTCATTGCAAGTTCTAGGAAACTCGTATTTTGATATGAACTGGTGCTATTTTATACTGCTTACTCTGTTCTCTTTGCCTTCTCTGAATGGGCAGAGATTTATCAAGCTATGGGTATTCACAAATGTTTTACTTTTTCAACAAAAGGAAAAGCCAGTTCTTGAAACTGCTTTATGCCTTTACCTGACCTACCTCTTCTGCTGTAATATTTACCATCGCCAGCTCCAGGTGGAATAGAGCGCTGGTAGATATCAGCTGGTATTGAAAGGCATATCTTAACATAACTCACTTAGAAATAGGTTGATATATTTCCCTTCTTAAGGCACTTGTTGTGCTGAATTTAAAGAGAATGTGCTACGCCTTGTCCTGGTTTTGAGGAAAAGATCTGCTGAAGTTGATGTGCTTCTTATAGACACCCTATATGCCTACCCTAGAAGATAGCCTATAGATACCCTACATGCATATAATTAGATAATTAGGTCAAAGCAAAGCCTGCGTGCTTGACAGTTATCAGCAGTTGAATTTATATTGTGAACAAGACCCTGTATGGCCACTAATAAATCTGGAGCTGGTGAACTCCACCATAGATGGGAACTTTGCACAGCATGCTGTGATCCAGAAGGAAGGGCTTGCCCAGTGCTGCAATTTTCAGCTTTTACTCAAACTAGTTAACCAGCTTTTGATTTCAGTGCCTTTCTTACTGAGATGCCCAAAGAGCTGGTGCCTCTTGGGTGTAAAACTTTCTAGGAGAAAAGCTGGAATCTGCTTACTCACGCGGCAAACTCTTCTTGCTCTTTCCTGATATCCTGGAATTGTGTGTTTCTGTCAGTAAAACTGTAATCCAGCACTTGGCAGCTTGTCAGCACAGCAAGTCTTTGTGGGAGGGTTGATTGGCAAGGGGAAACATCAAGCTTAGTTTGTAAGGGTGTGATCCTGGGGTTTTCCAAGAATTTTTTTTTCCATGCGGGATTTCCCGTACTATGAAGGACAGGCTGGCTGAGAGAATAAAAGGCAGTAGTAAAGGCAAGGGCACAGTCTGGATGCTTTGAGTTGAATCTTCAAGTCCATATTCAGCAGTTTAACTACTATCCAGCAGTCCCTGCTAAATAATAGAAGACTTCTAGAGCACCTGACCAATACAGCTACACCTGTGAGTATAAATGGACTTTTATTATATTTCATTGCTCAGCTAGAGAAAGACTGGATAGGTAAAATTCTGTTAGTTTTTAAAAAACTATTTTAAAACTATCTTGACGTTAAGAACTGTTTTAGGTGATTAATCTCCCAAGAACTGCAGTCTTATTTAATTCTTTAGAAAGATCGTTTAAATGTAGAAGAGATTAAGTGAATGATATTTTATACTGAATTGTAAAAAAGCAGCGTATGCTCTATACAAATGTGTTCCTTTGATCTTTCCCAGCCATCTGCATAAAAGACAAAACTCAGAAACATGACTTGCTTGTGGTTCCTGTCTCTTCTTGCTTATGGTAAGTGTGTATGTCTGCAGAGAACTAGATGGATGGTAATGTCAGTGTGCTTGGGTTTAAGCTCAGAATTAAGCAGATTTTTTTTTTGAATGTGACCTAATTAGCTTGAGACTGGATTCCCATAGAAAGCAGTAGCTGCAATGGGATGTTGCCCTGCTTACCTGTCAAAGATGTAATCGGCTCCTATGATTTACTGTGAAGTCTGCAGAGCTTTGTGTGATCAGACATAGTTTCACAGGCTGAAGTTGCTGTGCTTGATGGTGACATAACCTGTTTTGAAGCCTGCTGATTAATTATTTTTAAAATAATTGCTGCTAACTTTATGCTGTTTCAGATATTGACAAATGTGCAAAACTTATGGATCCTATTCTAGAGAAGGAGGGGAAAAAGTCTGATAGCAACTTTTTGCCATCTTTTTGTTCCAGGGCTTACAATACTGGAGGGGGTGAATTGTTGGATATACATTTATTCAAATACAAACAAGACCTATGATGATGCAGAGAAGTGGTGCCGCAACCATAACGCTAAGTTGGTTGCCATTCAAAATAAGAGCATAAATGGCTACCTCAATGAAACCTTACCCCACAATCCAGGTTACTACTGGATTGGAATCAGAAAAATTAATGATAAGTGGACCTGGGTAGCAACAAACGAAACACTGATGGAAAAAGATGAAAACTGGGCTACAGGCGAGCCAAATGGCAATGGAAAGACGAGGACTGTGTTGAAATCTACATCAAAAGAGGACAGAGATGCTGGCAAATGGAATGATGAGAGGTGTGACAAAGCAAAGGTCGCCTTGTGCTATAGAGGTATGGTATCAGAAAGTCCTTTTCAGTGAGCCCTTGTGGAGATGAGATACTGTTGTTTAACCTGGCCTTACATACTAACTACCTAACCCTGTAAACACCAGTACATTTATCCTTACAGAGCTGAGGTTGACCTTATTCTAAGAGCTGGATTGATCTCACCTACCTTCTAGCTCCCAGAATATCATACATCTTTTCTAAGGGAGTTATTAGACCCTCTCCATAATCAGTGGAGAGAAACAGTCTCTTCCAGAAGATGGGTGATCCTACTCTGAAGTAGGTGACTGAGCTAGATGAGAATTGTCCTTTTGGAGGCATCTGTCTCTGCTAACTACAGAACACTGGTTTAGATTTGTGTAGAGAGAGGTCAAAAAAATAAATCTATCACAAAAATAGCCAAGTGAAATATCTGCCAAATCAGAGCTGTGGTGAGTTAATGAAGAATATCTCTGAGGATTTCTGCCTACCCCATAGTATATTGTTCCTTTTACATTTTAATTATTGCTAATAACTGAGAACAAGTGGTCATGGAGTTTCCAGCTGGTGGAATTCTTTCCCTGTGAGCTAGTTTGTCAAAGCTATTGATTTCTGAAATGATTCTGTGAAATGATGGGATAGCCTTATATAGCAAAATTCCCTGATTTTCTTTTGCTGTACAAAGTGCTTGTTTAGTGCCAGAAAGATAAATGAAGCACCAGCCAAGTTTCAGTAGTGGCCAGTGCTGACTCTATTTGATTGACTCTTTTTTTTTTTTTTTTTGCAGCTTCTTGCAATGAGTCTACCTGCAGTGGCAATGGGCAATGCAACGAGGGTTTTAACAATTACACCTGCGAATGTAACCCTGGATTCTATGGGAGGAATTGTGAACTTGGTAAGGTTGTTTCATCCTTCTTTCCAGTTGGGGAGATGGTCATGCTAACTAGTGCTCAGTTTGTCTGGCTTTATTTGCCTCGTTAGCCAAAGAGAGTGACTGTACCTTGTGCTTCTTTGAAGTTAAGACTTGTGATGAGGTACCGAAATTTGATCATAGGAATCTTAAGTGCAACCATTCATTGGAGAGCTCTGCCTATAACTTGCCGTGCACAGTTTGGTGTGAAGAAGGCTATGAGCTGACTAAATTGGAACCAGTATACTGTAATTTTTATGGGGAGTGGTCTGCCCCTCTTCCATCATGAAAAAGTGACATTATAACACTATGATAGATGGGATTTCCACGTTATAACTAGCTCTGTGGATACATATACATGGCTCATAGTGGATACAAACTGAGATTCTGGCCCATTACTTTAATTCTCTGGTGAAGATGCTATTGTATTGCAGCGCACAGGTCTCCCTCATCCTGAAGAGATAAAACGGCCAAAGTCCCAATCCTGGTTTAGACTACAAAGTAAGGAAAACCTTTTCTGTCTTTAAGTGGAGAACAGAAAACGAAGAAGATCTTGTCTGACTGTTCACATCAGGCCAAGTACTCCTGACTAGCTATTTTTTGAGGTGTTTGGCATACAATAAGCTATTGTTAGAAGCAAGTAAAAGCATCACACATCACCAAGAAGCAGTCAAACTGGGAAAACTTTTGATAGTAACTAGCTGGTGTCATGAGCTGCAGATGAATTTACAACGTTGTCTTAAAACAGTCAGTCTTCCATTTTGAGATATTTCCACTCCTATCTGCTTTCTGAAATGGCAGGATAGTAAGTCTCCTTTCTAAAGCTGCTTCTCTGGAATGGATATGTTGCTAAGCTTCAGGAAAGTAAAAACACTTCAGTATGTCCCAGACTAATGTCTGTGCTGTCTTTTATGCTTTCAGCTGTGACCTGCCCTGCTCCATCCATTGCTAATGGCTCTGTGGCCTGCTCCGATCCCTCTGCGAATGTCACCTGGGGTAACAACTGCACGTTCACTTGTGAGGAAGGATTTATCCTGAAAGGACCAGACACACTGCAGTGTGGATCTTCTGGGAATTGGTCAGAGGAGCAGCCATCCTGTGAAGGTACCTTTCCTTATCCCTGCCCACCCAAGCACTTGGGGCATGCTGAATTCCTTAGATATCTGTGCTGACTGCTCTTAGGATCCTTATGTTACAGCTGTGAGGTGTGAGGCTGTAACCTGGCCAGAAGGTTTAAGAACCTGTTACCATTTCCCTTGAGATCTTGTCTATTGCTCCTGTTATGATTTCCGCTGCCAGGAGGGCTGTGTTCTGGCGGGCCCCTCCAGTGCATGGCAGAAGGACAGTGGTCAGAGCCATTTCCAAAATGCAAAGTTAAGAATTCCTGGGTTGGGAAATATTTCTTCGTCAATGTGCAACACACTGAAATCCTATTCCCTGAGGGTCCCGGTTAAATTCAGTCAGTCTCCAGCCCCGGTTGGGTGTGCAAGGTTAGGTGTATCATGGCCTCAGTAGAGGTTAGAGGTAACAGAGTTCTTATGCTTTCAGCTGTGACCTGCCCTGCCTTAACACCCATCGCTAATGGCTCTGTGACCTGCTCCGATCCCTCTGTGAATGTCACCTGGGGTACCAACTGCACGTTCACTTGTGAGGAAGGATTTGTCCTGAAAGGACAAGACACACTGCAGTGTGGATCTTCTGGGAATTGGACAGAGGAGCAGCCATCCTGTGAAGGTACCTTTTCTTATCCCTGGACACCAAAGCACTTGAGGCTATCAGCATTAGCCTGTTGAATTCCTTAGATATCTGTGCTGACTGCTCTTGGGATCTGTATGTTACAGCTGTGAGGTGTGAGGCTGTAACCTGGCCAGAAGTTTTATGACCTGTGACCATGTCCCTTGAGATCTTGTCTATTTCTTCTGTTATGATTTCCACTGCCAGGAGGGCTGTGTTCTAGAGGGCCCCTCCAGCACTGTGTGCATGGCAGAAGGACAGTGGTCAGAGCCATTCCCAAAATGCAAAGTTAAGAATTCCTGGGTTAGGAAATATTTCTTCGTCAATGTGGAACACGCTGAAATCCTATTCCCTGAGGGTCCCGGTTAAATTCAGTCAGTCTTCAGCCTGGGTAGGGTGTGTAAGGTTAGGTGTATCATGGCCTTAGTAGAGGTTAGAGGTAATGGAGTTCTTATGCTTTCAGCTGTGACCTGCCCTGCTCCATCCATTGCTCATGGCTCTGTGAACTGCTCTGATCCCTCTGCGAATGTCACCTGGGGTACCAACTGCACGTTCACTTGTGAGGAAGGATTTGTCCTGAAAGGACAAGACACACTGCAGTGTGGATCTTCTGGGAATTGGACAAAGGAACAGCCATCCTGTGAAGGTACCTTTCCTTATCCCTGGACACCCGAGCACTTGGGGCTATCAGCATTAGCCTGTTGAATTCCTTAGATATCTGTGCTGACTGCTCTTGGGATCTGTATGTTACAGCTGTGAGGTGTGAGGCTGTAACCTGGCCAGAAGGTTTTATGACCTGTGACCATGTCCCTTGAGATCTTGTCTATTTCTCCTGTTGTGATTTCCACTGCCAGGATGGCTGTGTTCTGGAGGGCCCCTCCAGTGCATGGCAGAAGGACAGTGGTCAGAGCCATTCCCAAAATGCAAAGTTAAGAATTCCTGGGTTAGGAAATATTTCTTCGTCAATGTGGAACACGCTGAAATCCTATTCCCTGAGGGTCCTGGTTAAATTCAGTCAGTCTCCAGCCCCGGTTGGGTGTGCAAGGTAGTGTCATGGCCTCAGTAGAGGTTAGAGGTAATGGAGTTCTTATGCTTTCAGCTGTGACCTGCCCTGTTCCATCCATTGCTCATGGCTCTGTGAACTGCTCCGATCCCTCTGTGAATGTCATCTGGGGTACCAACTGCACGTTCACTTGTGAGGAAGGATTTGTCCTGGAAGGACCAGACACACTGCAGTGTGAATCTTCTGGGAATTGGACAAAGGAACAGCCATCCTGTAAAGGTACCTTTCCTTATCCCTGCCCACCCGAGCACTTGGGGCTATCAGCATTAGCCTGTTGAATTCCTTAGATATCCGTGCTGACTGCTCTTGGGATCTGTATGTTACAGCTGTGAGGTGTGAGGCTGTAACCTGGCCAGGTTTTATGACCTGTGACCATGTCCCTTGAGATTTTGTCTGCTTCTTCTGTTGTGATTTCGACTGCCAGGAGGGCTGTGTTCTAGAGGGCCCCTCCAGCACTGTGTGCATGGCAGAAGGACAATGGTCAGAGCCATTCCCAAAATGCAAAGTTAAGAATTCCTGGGTTGACAAATATTTTCTTGTCAATGTGGAACACGCTGAAATCCTATTCCCTGAGGGTCCAGGTTAAATTCAGTCAGTCTTCGGCCTGGTTGGGTGTGCAAATTAGTGTCATAGCCTCAGTAGAGGTTAGAGGTAATGGAGTTCTTATGCTTTCAGCTGTGACCTGCCCTGCCTTAACACCCATTGCTAATGGCTCTGTGACCTGCTCCCATCCCTCTGCGAATGTCACCTGGGGTAACAACTGCACGTTCACTTGTGAGGAAGGATTTGTCCTGAAAGGACCAGACACACTGCATTGTGAATCTTCTGGGAATTGGACAGAGGAGCAGCCATCCTGTAAAGGTACCTTTCCTTATCCCTGGACACCCAAGCACTTGGGGCTATCAGCATTAGTGTGATGAATTCCTTAGACATCTGTGCCGATTGCTCTTGGGATCCTTATGTTACAGCTGTGAGGTGTGAGGCTGTAACCTGGCCAGAAGGTTTAAGAACCTGTTACCATTTCCCTTGAGATCTTGTCTATTGCTCCTGTTATGATTTCCACTGCCAGGAGGGATGTGTTCTAGATTGCCCCTCCAGTGCATGGCAGAAAGAAAGTGGTCAGAGCCATTCCCAAAATTCAAAGTTAAGAATTACTGGGTTGACAAATATTTTCTTGTCAATGTGCATCATGCTGAAATCCTATTCCCTGAGGGTCCCGGTTAAATTCAGTCAGTCTTCAGCCTGGGTAGGGTGTGTAAGGTTAGGTGTATCATGGCCTCAGTAGAGGTTAGAGGTAACAGAGTTCTTATGCTTTCAGCTGTGACCTGCCCTGCCTTAACACCCATTGCTAATGGCTCTGTGAACTGCTCTGATCCCTCTGCGAATGTCACCTGGGGTACCAACTGCACGTTCACTTGTGAGGAAGGATTTGTCCTGAAAGGACAAGACACACTGCAGTGTGGATCTTCTGGGAACTGGACAAAGGAACAGCCATCCTGTAAAGGTACCTTTTCTTATCCCTGGACACCAAAGCACTTGAGGCTATCAGCATTAGCCTGTTGAATTCCTTAAACATCTGTGCTGACTGCTCTTGGGATCTGTATGTTACAGCTGTGAGGTGTGAGGCTGTAACCTGGCCAGGTTTTATGACCTGTGACCATGTCCCTTGAGATCTTGTCTATTTCTCCTGTTGTGATTTCGACTGCCAGGAGGGCTGTGTTCTGGAGGGCCCCTGCAGCACTGTGTGCATGGCAGAAGGACAGTGGTCAGAGCCATTCCCAAAATGCTACATTAAGAATTACTGGGTTGACAAATATACTGGGTTTCTAGTCAAGTGAAGGAGATATGTAAGGGTAGAGAAGGTAACAGCAACCAGTGAGTTTGTACTTCTAGTGGACAAAGAAAAAAGCTTAATGAACTCTCTGAATATATTCCTTGAAAATAAAGGAGAAAATTCCTTAAAGGTGTGGGTGGGGAATCTTGATTTCTTAAAAACAACAAAAGCCTTAACCTGACTTGGATGTTTTTGTTTGTTCTGTAATAAAATATTTACAATCTTGAGCTATTTGCATATAAATAAGGAGCTTTTCTAGAAAAGTATAACTTTGTAGGGATTTTACATTCTTCAGTCTGATTCTCAGTGGAAAAAGTATAGATTTGTAAAGTTGGTGTGATCAGTCTTCAGCTGAGCGGTTCACCCAAGAAACTCATAGAGCTTTTCTGTGAAAGGCTGTAATTTTACAGGGCAAAAGTCTCAGCCTTGCCTTCCCATCCAAGGCAGTAAGAGCTGTCCCTGTTCTCAGTAGGAACATGCGTGGTCCACATGAAATGTCTTTGCTTAACATGCTAAGAGTTCAACTCCACTTTATTTGGGCATAGTTTGGAGTCTTGAATAATTTCATTGGTTTCAGTGGAACTCTTCAAAGAGGACAAAACCACAGCAGGAACCAGAATGTGAGAGCATAAATTTTATGAGAGCATAAATTTTAGCTTGTGGCTGGAGGTTAGACAGACCCTTGGATAGTTAGCCTATTGCCTTGCCATTGCTTTGGCAACAGGTGGGATAATTATAGTTTTTGGCATGTAGCATTTCATCTTGTGCACAGGATGTCCCCTATCTCAGCAAGAGGTAGAACAAGCAAGTGACAAGCAGCAATACTGGTTTCTTCCGAAGAGCACAAGGAAAAGGAAGAAACAGGGTTTCAAAGACCTCACGTGCGTCCTGGTCTCACTGAAACTTTTTTCTTTCAGCTTCTGAACGTCCCGATGTCAACTATGTCTATGTGGGTATAGCAGCCATAAGTGCCTCTGTGTTGACCACAGCAGCATTCTTCCTTTGGCTAGCAAGACGCTTGAGAAAAAAAGGTAAGAGATTGGACTGTTTTATTTACCTTCCTGATTTGTGTGTGTGCATGGTTCCTCCGGATTCAAAAGGCTTTTTGAAAAAGTGAAAGCTCATTTAAACAAATTACCAAATTATTTTCAGAAAGCCTGTATATGTGCTACATTTGCCTGCATAAGCCTGCTACATAAGCCTGCATATGTGCTACATTTGGCTTTACAATGAGCAATTAAACATCCAAAAGTATTAAAAAAAAAAAAAAGTAATAATTAAAGAAAATAATTAAAGGGGAAGAAAAAGAAACAGCTATTCATCAGTAATTACTGCCAGGAAAAGTGAGCGGGAGTTTGAGATTGGGCTAATAACAACACAGTAATAACTGCCTATGAGATTTCTGTTGCTAGATCAATGTTTCTTTATCAAATATTCAGTAAAGTTTTTAATTAAAAAAGTTTTCATGAGAGGGCTTTCATCTTGAAATGATAATGTTTTTCTTTCTTCTTGCAGCAAAGAAATTCACTCCTTCCAGGTAAGTTATGTCTCAAAAATCAGCATGAAAAACATTGGAATCACTTTTCTAAAATCCATTTGATACGTAACAGCTATCGCTAAAGTACTTTTCATTTCTCTTTTATAGCAGCTGTCAGAGCCTTACTACTGAAGGCAGTTTCCAGCATGTTGGCAGGACGGTTTAACTCCAGGTGTTTCAGGTAAGCATGCAAGAGTGCTACACTTCCCAGTTCTCTTCCTTTTAATCACAGAAGTAATCAGAACTGTTAATTGCTATACAATTGCAGAAATAGCAATATGCACTTTGGGGTACCTAATATGCATCTTGGTATTGCATAAAAGTTCCTAAGGAAGCTGATCAATTTATTTGGAAATGGTTATTCAGCTCCTAAAGGATGATTGTGCTGAGTTGCCTGTCTAGCTGTATATAACATTAGGAACACTTTTGTGCATTTTTGCTGCCTGCTGCATACAAAATTCCTCTGACATGAGAGCGAATACAAATCTATGCCAATTTTCTAATTTATAGTGGAATTTTGTTCTCTCTGCAGGAATTGAAGCCATCTTTACTTATGTCTCAGGTTTTCAGGAAATGAAACTGCATGCAGATCAGCAGCTGTCCAGATGTTTTTACCTCTTGCTGACAAGATGATTCACCTTGTGTATTGCTCAAATTTTGAACTCAAGCTGTCTGGTATTTTCATTGAAGACAAACAAGCAGAGGGCAAAATTCTGGCCTTCTGGCAAAATACTGTCTGCATTCAGTCATGTAGTTATCATAACTGGGAGCTTGCCATCTCTTGTCCAGATGGTGAGCAAATAGTAAGCTGCTGCCTAAAGAGGAGGCTGGTTTCTCCTCTGTTCTGCTCAAAGGTACCTAGGTGAGGTGAAGACATGCATTATTTCACATGACTTACTACACTGCTGGAGATGTCTTCTCTGGAGACATATGGGATATACTTGCAGAAACAAAATAATTGGGATTAAGAAACATTTGTTGAATTGCTTTGAAGTCATTGATCTGGTTTATTGTTGAAATCAGTTTAAGATGATGTCCCTGACATAAATGGACGGTTACTTGTGTTTCTGCTGCATGTCCCAGATAGCTTGTGGACTTTTTTGCTAATAGCACTAGGAATGTTGGTGCTTGTAATAGGTACTTCAGTTTCTGAATGCAGCAATTAGATCTGAAATGATCTCATCCCCATGGGATTACTGTAATACAGGTGTATATTTAAATATTTAATTTGAGTGAATTTTACTGTGGGTATTTCTGTGCTGTTAACAGTAAATGTTTAAAGCACCTGTTCCTGAGTAGGTCTCTGATCACTGATCTGGGCACAGGCCATTTTAAAATGTCAGATATGTTTCTAAGATTACATGCCTGCATATAATTTGCAAATAAAATGGAAGTCTCAGATTTGTATGTGTGTATATATATATTGCAAGTATGATTTATAAAGCTCTTAAAGGACTTTAAACGATTCGTAAGTTATGTTTAAGTTATAACCATAAATTAAACATCTGTATGACTTGGAATTTGATATGTATTGTTCTATTTGTAACATTATTTAATAAAACATTTTAAATGTAATGCTCCCTTTCTGAAAACATTAATCTTTTAAATGTGCACTGTGGATATGTGGTTTCAGGAGCCGAATATGAGGGTGTGGGGGAAGGACTGGTTAAACAGTAAGTCTGGGGAGCTTGCTCTCTTATTCAGCTTTCCATGTTTTCATAGAAGTCAAGGAAAGAGTAGCCGGCAGATGGCACTGACTACCTGGGAGCCAGCACAGTCATAGCTAGACCCGAAACCAGCATTCCTGGTCCTGAAAGGAAAGAGGAGGGCTCAGTGATGCATCCCATAGAGCAGGTGCTTGGACCAGCAGTGAGCTTGGAGAGAGGGATGCTCAGAAGGGAGAGGAGAGCAGAAAGAAAAGCAAGTAGTGACCTTGATGCACAGTCAACAGCACAAACCCATGCAGGACTTTGCCAGGCCTTTCTGCTGGGACATTAGTGGGGGGCTGGCAGAGCATGGGCTAGCTGGTAAACACAGCTCTGGGGAGTTGGGGTGGCTATCCAGGGGCCTCCACCCCCACCCCCACTGTGGCTTGGGCTGTAACCAGACTGCCCTGGGCTACTGATGGCTGGGCACTGCTGTAGCTGCCCTTCCCTGGCCCTTGGCACAGCCAAGGGAGCTGCGCTGTGGATCTCTGTAGCAGCTCCTGAGGAACCATGAGGTGTATTCCTGCCCCAGGCAAGGCTCAAGAGAAGCCATCTGGCCAGGCAGCAAGGGAGATGGTCAGGAGTTGCTGCACCACGAGGGATAGTGCCCGTTGCTGTTTATCCCAAACCGATTAGCAAACAGAGTGGCTGCCAGTGCTTCCCCCCCGCCTTGGCGGCAAGGTGGGGCCCAACCGTGTGAGCAGATGTAGAGCAGTAATCCTTCAGGTTCCCTGAGGGGACGTAGAGATTAGCCCGAAACGCCCTGCTCTGAATCCCTGCAGGAGCTGTTTTGAGAGTTAAACCACCACATGGGTCCCCCGGCCTGTCCTTGGTGTTGTCCTCTACAGGCACAGTCCTGTAGCATCCTCTGGAGACGGCTTCTCCCCTGCTGCAGTCAGGGCAGCCCTGCTTTTCTCCCAGGAGGTGACCAGAGCTTGTGCTTCTAGCAGCTTTTCTTTACCTCTCCTGGGATCTTATAGAGCCATTCCTACCAGACAAGAGACTAGACAATTATCCCACTCCAAACGTTCATCCCGTGTGACTTCTGGAGGCAGCAAGAGTGAGACCCCATTTGGACAGGGTCCTGCATTTCTCTCACTTGTCCAGGTCCCTTGGTTCTTGGTCCTCTTCTGGCACAGTTTGTTCCTGCTTCAGGATATGAATTGCCAGCTCTGATGGCATGGTGTGTCCAGGCCTCTAGGGTCTTCAGGAAGTCATTTTTGTAACGAGCATGTCTCTGTCGCTGTGACTGTCAACTCAGCTCTTCTATTGTTTGCTGTCTGTCTAGATCCTGCTCTGGCAAGAGTGGCCATGGGAATGTTTGCTGCCAGACAGTCACTGCATAACTCTGTTGTGTTACTCCTATCAACAGTGTGCTGCCATGCGACCACCGAAGGTCCCCAGTCTCTGCTGGAGGGACTTTCCTTATTTCTTGTTGTTCTAATTCCTCAGTGCTTCCTGGGCCTGTGGCATTGTTCAGAACGGGATCCTTGCTTTGCCTGGCATCTTGTTTTGGAACAGATATCTGCTTGTGCTGTGAGTTATGGAAGCTGTGAAGGTGACATTAACTGGGAGGCCTGTGTGTGTGTGTGCTTTCACGGCTCTGTATGTTTGCTGCTTGGCGAGGAGATGGCTTTTGTGGTACCACTTAACACTTCCCTGATGAGCTGAGCTACCCAGGCTGCTTTAGATTTTTGTGTCTGCAGCCCAACGGAAGGGGATTTAGAAACAACCTTTTATTTAAAGCATCAAAGACAAGTAGTGTTTGATTTGGGGTAGGTGTCTCTGGCCTTTGGTGGTATGCACAGCCTAAACCCTTCCCACACTAGGGTTTGCCTTGTATTTTCACAAACGATTAGCCATCAAACAAGCAGTCATTTACCAGGACCTGGCTGAAGTTGCCTTCCAGAGCTCTGGTTTTCAAAGGCTGGACTAGACCCAGCATTTGGCCACTGGTTCTTCGCTCACAAAGGTAGGTGTCTTCGATAGGCTCTGGAGACTGCGAGTCTTTGCAGCTCCTCGCGTGTTTTGCTGAGGACTGACAGCAGGGACTTTGAAGCAGTAGCTTCTGCAGGAGTTGGAGTCAGGAACAAATCACTAACCTGCTCAGCTCCTGCTCTGGGAGCTGTCAGCGGATATTAGGGCCAGGAGGCCAGACTGTGACATTCAATGTCCATGCAACGCGACATACTCAGGCCTTTGTGAGTCTGTTTTTTGTCTTGCTCTTGTTCGGATTCCTCTGGTTCTTGCAGGCTGCTGCTTCTTGGCTTGAGCAAGCTGCTAATGTGGGGCTGGTGGTGGGTACATGGTGAGGGGTCTTCAGTCCGTGGGCCTGGAGGAGTATGTTGCTGCAGTGAGTGTTGGAGCTGTCAGAGACGCACAAAAACGTAAGACATGCTCCCTGGGAGCCAGATCTCCCATCAAAGGAGAAGTACAGCATAGGTTTGCCCATGTGGTTGCCAACCTCCTGTTGGTATTGGGCACAAAAGCCCAGTAGAGGGAAAAACAGCAGGCTTTGCAGTCTAGCTTGCAAGGTTTGCAGTCATACCATGGGGCTCTGTAGCTTGGTTTACAGCCCCTCCCATGCACACATCTAGGGTGAAATGAGCAAAATTGCAGGTTAGCTTCAGCCAGCGGAGTCAAAATGGGCGGGTTGTTACTGCTACTCACCTGGTGCTAATAAATCTTGCCTAGGAGGGAGGCAGACTTGGCCAGCACGATTCAGCCATGGCTCCAGTGGTGAGAGAAATCCACAGCCCAGAAAGTGCTTCCACAGCTGATGATGGCCAGTGTTTTTTCCAGCTCAGGAAAACTGCTGCCAAGAACAGGTCTGTGTGCAAAAAAAAAAAAGCACAAACACCTCCTCAGCAAGGCAACAGATGCCCCCGGGCAGCTGCCAGCAGGTTTTCTACCTGCCTTCCCACTTCAGGGAAGGACATTCCCTGAAAAGCCCAACAGTTGCTTTGACTTTCAGCCTGGGCCAAGTGGGACCTTCATCAACTTCTCGCCTCACCAGCTGCCATGCAAGCAGCGATGGCAGGTGTGAAATTGCAGGTGACTTGCTTGCTTCTGGCACTCTAGTGCTGTCATTTTGGGCTTTTGACAGCTTTTGAGTGGGCAGGAGGAGGGAGTTGCACTAAATCCATGCCTTTTGGAGCAGGCCTGGGTCATGGAGCGCTTGGTTAGAAGGAAAAGGGTTAAACAGAAGACAGGAAACACTTTGTTCAGGGCTTATTCTACAGAGCAATTTCTGGGAAAGGAGGGGCTGCAATCAGGCAGGATGTTTTTTCTTTGGGATCTTGGGAAATCAAGCCCAGCCTGGCCTAAACCAAGAGGGAAATACAGCGCAGCCAATGCTGCATGGAGCTGTGACGTCCCCGCTTCATCTTATCGCGTGTCAGTGCAAACAATCCAGATAACGTAAAAATCAGACGTGATGAAATGCTAGGTTCACATGAATAACAAAATGCGCCATGGGGAAGTGATATGATTTTAGCAAAAAGGCAATGGGAGTGGTCCCACAAACCCTAAGACAGATGGATAGGGTTCTACCCCGTCCTCAAGGTTTTCCTTGCCACAACTCATGCCGGGGGCCCTGGGGTGGTCAGGGAGGAGAGTTTGGGATGTGTCTGCATTGCAGAGCTGTTCCCAGGCTGGAGCCTGATCTAGATCACCCTCAAAGGCAGCAGAGAGACGCCCTGCAGGTTAGTTAGGAACTGCTGGTTCAGCGTCAGAGAACGGAGAAGATTTTTGCTACTTCACAGCTATTCACTTTTGGCCAAGATGCAACTATTTCAAACAACCAGATGTAGCAAAGGATTCCATTTCCCTCCTAATCAGCGGACCACTTGCCACACCATGTGACAGAGGCTGAAGTATTAAGCCTGCAGAGCGCCTGCAAGTTTGGTGGGGACGGAGCTTGAGAGGTAGAGTTGAGACACTTCACCGTGTGCCTTTGGAGGAAACAGTGGCAGTTTGCATTGCGTGGTAATTGGCAAAGCCACCGTGCATTCTGCACGCGCTACTCAGACATCCTCTTCATGCAGAGTTTGCTCAGGCTGGTGGTTTGTTTGCACTAGAGCCAGGCCAGCTGTTCAGCTGGACACATTTGTCACGCTGCTCTTTTGAACTGGGGCAGGTAGATACCACTGCTGAGGTCAGTACAGATCAGCCTGGGTAGTTTTCTGTTCCTTCTCTTAGCTCTTTCTTCAGGAATATTCAGCGCTGTTTCATTTGCCCTGCCAGAATAGAGGGTTTAGGTTTTGCGCAGAGTGGTGTAAAATCCCAGCTGACACACCAGGAGGTTAAAAGATCCGTCTTTTCAAACACCGATTTTAAAATCCGGGTTTTAAAAACCTACTGGACATAAAAAGTTTCTGGTGAAGAAACTGTAATTACTCACAAGCAAGCATCTGGCTCGCTGAATGCACGTTAAGTGCCGGGAACAAGTCAGACAGATTTCTGTTTTCTCCAGGCTGCGAGCTGCATTTGTTCAGTTTGGCTGCATCAGATTCGGAGGCGGTCCTTCAGGCGCTGACAAAAGTGTTTCAGATGCTGCCAGAGGAAGCTAATAACACACACACGCGTTCCTGTGTGCACACGCACACCAGGCTGGTCATTGCTCCTGTTTTGTCACTTTTACTTCCCGTTTCCTTGCAGATTCTGGTTCTTGGCCCATTAAATGGTGAATGACTCTTCACGACATCCTTCCTTGTCTGCTCTGTGGGAGCAAGCCTGTGCCGTCTGGCAGGTGATGGAAATTGGCGACAGGGTCTCTGGGGACTTTTCAAGCACTTTATTCATGTTCCAGCACGAGCTGGGGATGGTTGCAAATGGCAAACAGATCCCCTGCTTTCATATCAACGCTGA